CAGACATGCTGGAAACCAAACTGGTTCCCAATACGAAACCAACCTGAGGTGGTGGGAGCTGGTTTGGCTGCCCCAGCCACAAGCCAGGGGAAGCTCTCTATATGGACACTACTGCCACAGGACAAATCCTTCCCATCGCGAAGTACACAAGAAAGGAATACAAAGGTGGTGCCCCCTACGGCTGTCTCCCCCATGGACTGAAGACCCCAAAGACGGACCCTGGCTGTGCAGCAAAAGCAGATCATCTTAGATGGAAGGATGCCACCAAGGACTTTGCTGGACTCTATGATCTTAAAGGTCTTTTCCAACCTAAATGATTCTGTGATTCTATGACTAATCCCCCCTGAAACCTCATTAACCTTTCAAGAAAGGGTTAAAGTTTCAGGATAGGCAGCGGTGTTGCAACACAGTTTTAATATCATAACTGTAAAAAGAAATTCAATTATATGATTTATCGGTTGCATAAGCACCCATGCAGGGCCAGATCCTGCTGCCACTAAGCTGCCATTGAAATTAGAGCAGTGTTTTTGGCACAGCCCAAACAGCTGCACAGCTGCCAGGGAGTCAATGCCTGTGCACATGTCCTCTGCTCCCTTGCTCCGCTCCCCACCGGAGCCCGTCCTGACCAGCAGCGGGAAGAGTGCTGCAGGAACCGTCTGCACTGGCTGGAGAGCTACCCAGAAAAATCCAAGGGCTAAAGTTTGCACTAAAATATTTACAAGCCCCTACGCCTTTGAATAATACAAGAAAAAGGCAATCACAAGTCAGGTTTTTACCCTTTCACAACACAACTTACCGACCAAATTGATTGCACCTTTTAAGCTGGTATAAACCCCCTTCTTGAGAAGAGTCCTTTGTATCCACTTTTGCCAAATAGCTCTTTTTCAGCTGATATATAAACCTCTGAAAATAAGTTTGAGGGGAGACTGACAACCTTGAAACCTCAAGAGCAGCATGGCATTGATGGGTGCCGCTCCCTGAGCCAAGTATTATAGATAGATTTTAATTTCATTTTAACAAAATAGCTATCTCCAGCAGAAGAAGCATCAAGAGCTAAATGAGGACCCGTCTTGAGCTGAATCACATTGAACAGACCTCAGCACTGTCATTGATTTTCTGGGAAGAAAAAAAATGCCTCTGGCTACTAAACCAAATTAGTAGTCACTGATGACCAATTATTTTGCCCCACTGTGAACGGAGAGGCGTACTAAAATTCCAGTTTGTCAGACCCAAGGCTCTCTTCTCAAACACCTTTCAACAAGCGTGTACCGAAAGTCCCTCAGATGGTTCTGACGCCTTCCTGTTTTTGGCAACTTCTCCTTCTCCAAAGTTTTAATGAGCTGCTGCTCTGAGGATGGTCTGCCAGAAAGGGAGCCCTTCCCAGCTCTTTGGAGCACTATTTGGCATGGCACAAATCACAGCTGTCAGAATTTATACACACGTACACAAAAACGTGTCAGCCTAATGTTTGCAAATTATAATTACCATTTCTCTTGCATGTCCCTGGTGCCTTCATTTTAGATAAATCCCAGCTCTGAGGTATCAGCTGCAAAGCACTGAAGGCTCATATTGAATAGAATAGATTTAACTAGTTTGTAGCTCATTTAAGGCCTACACTGTTCTATTTTAATATTGTTAATACTTTATTATACTTTTTAAACATTGTTTTCACAGTAAAATAGCCTATTAGGAGGCTGCAGCTTCTTTTCCAGGAGATATCTGGCAGACTAGCGTACCACATTGTATAACCAAGGTAGCAGGCGCTTGTCATTTCAGTTGAAAATAGGTCTGTACCCTGACTCTTGAAAGTAAATTGGAGAGAGACTCTATTAAAGAGACAGGAACTGTTTCAGGGATAATAGTTTTGAAAATGTGCACAGATAAATTTTAAAATATTTAGGAAATGTCAACATTAGAAGTGGCTCCAACTATCTGACTATAAAAGGAAGCAGCTGATTATTTTTTTTTTGACAATTATAAATAATTTGTTACATCCTATCAGAACTTCTTTGCCTTTCTTTTCTGTGGCAGGGTGCTTGTGCCAAAACAAGGAGATCTGAGTTATGCTGAATGAGATGGGTTTTAATACTCAGTAAGTGTTTTCAGCAGATGCTTCCTCCGTTCTCCCTACAGCATCTGCAGATAACAGCAAAATCCGCCCAGTTCAGAGGAGTGACATCTGGGCAGGGTGACAAAAGGAAACAGAACACAAGCCGTTCATTCCTGTCCTTAAGTAACACTAAGGCGAGAGGATGTTTTCCCAAAGGCTAGCTGCAAATGAGAAATACTGTCACACTGCCAAGCGGCACTGATATTGGGGCCAAAATTCCCCATCCACTCCGACGAAATCAGTGTTTGACCTACAAAGAAAAAGCTGCCTTGCTGAAATTTCTCCGGTAACCTTAGTCAAAGAAGTGTGTTACCTGATATCCCCTGCTCTTCCCCACTTTCTCAGTATTTCTCTCAAAGGAGGCAGGAAGAGCCAGACGAAGCCTCACGTCCTACAGCCCCACCAGAGCTTACATGTATAACTAAGCACACGAGTCATTCCCATCAATTTCAAAGAGGCAGTTCATGCGTGTATTATTCCAGGCATGATTCTATACTTTGCTGGATCAGGACTTAAATGCGATTAATCACACGGCAGGGAAGGATCTCTGAAGAGCATCAACCCAAATGTGTCCTTTCAAGCATTTACTTACAAGCCAGCTGTGGACTAATCAGTCATCAACTGGCTGGTCCACTGGAGATGGTAAAAGTCACCTCCATAGAGATGTGAAAACACATTCAACTACCACAAAAATCAATAACCAAACACTACGCACAAAGGCTCAATGCTTTCCTGAGTCCCTCCCTGCTATTCCTGCACACCAGGAAAGCTCCTGCCTCAGAGAGCGAAGGGACAGGCCACGGAAACAAACCCATGTGCAAAGCTCACCATGTGCTTGTACCAGGACTACCAAAATTTACACCACGCAATGAGACTGGAGACCCACCCAGACAAGACACTAGATCACAGGTTTGCCACATCTTTGATCCTTTGTAAATATTTTGCTCAGCTCTGACCAGTGTGAAATGCCAAAATGGAAGGGAAGGAGCAGGAAGAGGGGAAGACAAAGGGTAAACGTCGGTGTCCCCTTTGGCATGGGGTGTCTCCAGATAACGGTCTGGAGCAGCACAGCTGATTTGTAAGCAAAGCCTTGAAAAGCCCTGCAGCATGTGATCTATGAAACAGGAGTCTGCAGAAGGATATCTTCTCTGATATGAATGCCCCCTTGGGATGTATATTGCTGGATCACACATCCAGTATCATTAGAAAACACGACCATAGATTAGGCTGTTTTGAAGCATGTGGTGTGCAATAATTAAGTAATAAAAGTCACCACAGGGGTGAAGGAACAAGAAACAGAAGAGTTACTATTTGCATACGCGCTGCTGGCGCTCTCCATGATCAAAGATTCTCCAGACTGCTAAAAGCTACCTGCTACCGATTTGGGACCCACTCCTGCCAAAAGCCACCAAAGCACCAGCTCATTCCATGGCACATGGGCTCTCTCTGCAGAAAACCACCTTCTGGTGGAGCTGGTGACCCAGAAGCAGCCCAGCAGTTAGCCCAAGTCCCCAGTGTCTTGCAGTTGGTTTGGACAGACAGCACTGTCTTTCTGTTACAGGAGCTGCAGCTGAAGGCACTGCAGGCCACAGGTGGGAGCAGAGCTGGGGCTGATGGCTCCAAACTGTCATAGGTTGCTGCTGAGATGGGAAAAGTCCCTCCCCAGCAAGGTGTGCAAGGATAAGGACCAATAAAACTTAATCTCGAGGTCCTCCATCACCTTCAAGTGTTTGCTTCTGGGGGAAAAGAATAGCAGCACAACCACAGCAATAAGTGATACGCTGTCCTCAAGGCAAGAACCCTGCTGCTGCCACTGCCAGTTGTGCCTCCCATGGTGGCTGATGAAGTTAAAGTATCCTCACCTGCAAGGAGCAAAGCTCAACAATTTCAGGCTGCAGCTCTGCTACAAGCTGGTCAGGTTAATGCCAGCTCAAAGCACCTGAGCAGGACACTGGCCAACAAGCAACTGCCTTTTATTTTTACTATTTTTCTAGAATTATGGTCACCTGCAGCTCCTCTCTGCTGCTGTCCCCTCCTGGCCAGGATGCTCCCTGGTACCCTCTTTCAAGGGGCAAATACATCTGGTCTGTGCAGCTGAGGCACTAGACCAGGGCTCAGCAGTTCAGCTCCCCTTTCCACTGCAGACACCCGACCATCTGCATTGAGTCCATTTTTATCCCTATTCAGATTGCTTAGGACAGCACTTACTCCTCTCACCCAATCCATCATTGCATTTGTTTGCAGCTTTTTGGTGTACCACAGTAGTGATATTTTAATAGCAAAAGCAATGTTATTTTAGCAAAACACACTTTGCATCCGGTGGTTCTTCCCAGGCAGCTGCCATGGCTGTGTCAGTCTGGAGGAGACCCAGCAGGTTCTACCTTCAGCTGGTCAGAGCCAGAGCTGCTCCTCTGAGCTCCAGGGCAGCAATGCAAAGGCCCAGCTCTCTGCTTCTGGACATTGCCCCACTCAGTGCTTTCATTACCCACCACTGGGTACCAGTTGGGAAATGCTCTTCTGAAGTCATAGCAGGGCCTAAGGTTGAGCCACAGTCTGTGATGCTCCATGGTCCTTCCAACACACTGGGGCTTGAACAGAGGTGGTGGTATGGGCCCTACATGCAGAGGTATAAGTTGTGCCCATTCTGAGGAATGCCCTACCGCAATCCTGCTGCAGGTTACCAAAAGCATGTGCAGGCTGTGGTGTATTAATTGCAAATGAATGTGGGTTTGAGTCTCTCTGGAGGAAGAAAAAACCTTTCCTAGAGCAAGAATTTATTCATGTTCTCACCAGTCACACTTTCCAGGAGCAGAGATGGGCACCAGCATGGGGAGATAAAGAGAGGCATTAACCCTGGAGATTATATTGTTGTCTTTTCAATGTTTTCTAGGCCTTGCACTCCCTTTTTTGACCTCCTCCAACACAAATACAAGGAGCTGTGGATGGAGCAGCAGAGAGCACTGACAGCAGCCCAGCGAACAGAAAAGAAAAAGGTAATACTCCAGGAGTGCTTCCCCTTGCTGCGCACAGCACTGCTA